CGCCTCTATCAGCTGACTGTTTGGCTTTGTTAGCCACTGCTCCTGCGTCCACCTCAAATCCTCTTCACATTGCCTAGCCATCGGAGCAAGATAAGTGAGGGAGAAGAGAACATCGTCATTAATGCTGGCTGCCTATATGGCTGGGGTCCGTCTACCAAGCCTTGTTAACTTTGCGCTCGCTACCAACACAAGTCCACAAGTGCACCCTCTCGTCTCGGATCTTGAATATTTCAACGAAATCACGCTGCAATCGGAGGTGGATAGCCGCCTAAAAGGACCGTCCGTTGGTAAGTGGGTTTTGCGTCAACAAGGGCTTTCTGGTGAAGACGGTGGAAGCCTTTCATGATTACGGACATGTCAAAACCAGGCAGCAGTAAAAATAGTAAATCACGAAACGCAGATGTTCGATAGGTGTTTTGTACGAAACGACTTTGTCGTCCTTACATCTGACTGAATTGGTGGAAGTGCCGCGTCTTGGCAAAGCCAATTGGCCAGAAAGTAGTAGAAAGTCCTACAACAGGAAACAATTCGATTCATCGTACATCTAATTTTGCAGATATCCTTGGAATATAGATCCACCCGAAGACCGAACTGGCCTCTGGTTAGGATATGGTTGACTGACGACGATTAATGCATCAGAATCAGAGCAGCAAAGTTGGAACCTAAACGCAAACCATACTACATTTGTTTGTGCTGCATTCGGTTAGACCAGCTTTAGTGTACCGGGAGCCGAAAGAACTGGCTGTTGAAGTATTAACAGCAGAATATCGGGAAGAACGTAACTTCTGTAGGATCCTCATGGAAGGGCAAATGTGACGCTGCCAATCCGAAACCCGCGCCTAAATTGGAGCGGTTAAAGCCATCCTTTAGCCATAAATGTTTTCCGGGATAGACCGATTGGAAGGCCGTGACCGTAAGTTACCAGTTCGTGGTTGTTGGGAGCCCCAACAATTGCGTTCAGGAGAAATGGCAAACGAAACGGCAGCCATTTCTCTGTCTTAGCATCCTAAAATGACCCGTCTGAGTAGCAGAACTCATTAACTACTTGTCAGCAATGTGAAAATCGTGTGAAATTGTGCTTACGGCCTCTCCAGTGGTTGTTAGTTCAGTTAGGTGATAATCTGTTGCTGGCGGTGGGGGAGAGCGAGTGAGGTTGACCCTCCAGCTCATTTCTTTCCTCACTAAAAACAATGTGATACGCTTGGAGCTATCACGGTGTGCTAAAAGCCGTGATGACTTGGAGGATTGCCAACTGGCGGAATAACTCGGTCTGCGCAGTCAGCCCAGTGTGTGTCTTGTCGTATGGAGTGGCTTACTGCGGGCTGAGAGTCAGACTGCAATGGCTCCTTCTTAATGTGGCTTTTATGGCGCTCCTGCGCACGCGGGAGTATACCTAGCAAAGTAGTGTTGTTGTGGCGCGTGCCGGAATGTGTTTCGCACACACCGCCTGCGCCCCCTCCCCGCATCTCCGGTCTTCTCGACTCTTGTTTTCACATCGGGTTCAGGTGTGGGAGCGGTTAGAGAGTAGGGGTAGATCCGGCGAGTCTACTTCCATCTTAATCCAGCCATAGTCAGCGCGTTTGCCTTCAGTTTGCTGAAGCTCGTGGTGGACATGGTCAAGAGCGACGGTCGAATTGTCGGCTGTTAGTTCTGCTGATTGACTTAGCTGCCCTCAAGGTCGACGGCATGTGTGTCTGTCGTCTAGATACGCAGGAAACAGCGTACAGGCGAGATGGTCAGAGACGTCCGATCTTTAGGGAAAGCTCTAATCCGTAGGCTGAGGACAGAACCTCTTGCTTGTGGCCTTTTTT